AAATCGAAAAATCGAAAAATCGAAAAATCGAAAAATCGAAAAATCGAAAAATCGAAAAATCGAAAAATCGAAAAATCGAAAAATCGAAAAATCGAAAAATCGAAAAATCGAAAAATCGAAAAATCGAAAAATCGAAAAATCGAAAAATCGAAAAATCGAAAAATCGAAAAATCGAAAAATCGAAAAATCGAAAAATCGAAAAATCGAAAAATCGAAAAATCGAAAAATCGAAAAATCGAAAAATCGAAAAATCGAAAAATCGAAAAATCGAAAAATCGAAAAATCGAAAAATCGAAAAATCGAAAAATCGAAAAATCGAAAAATCGAAAAATCGAAAAATCGAAAAATCGAAAAATCGAAAAATCGAAAAATCGAAAAATCGAAAAATCGAAAAATCGAAAAATCGAAAAATCGAAAAATCGAAAAATCGAAAAATCGAAAAATCGAAAAATAGAAAAATCGAAAAATCTTTTTTAGAATCAACCTTAAAGACAACTTAAAATAATTTTGCATTATTCTTATGAGGTTTAACATTAACAATTTCACAAGTTAAATTATCAATAAAACATAATTTATTTTGAGTCTTTAAGTAGTCCAATAAGGTCGCATCGTCAAATTTTTCTGCCACGTTCGTCACTTTAATTCTTGGATGAAGTGAAGATATTGTTTTGACATTATATTTATCACCGAGATAATTAATAATGATTTCTCGAAATTTGGAAGAGTCTTCTTCTTTATTACAACTTATTACTAATGCACCATTTCGTGTTGCTGTTACTTTCGAGACCTCAATAATAGAATTCATCGGATTGACATTACGCAAAATTTCGGATTTAGTTGTGGAAATTGATTGAGTAATATTGTTTTTTGGCTGCAGAATAAACTTGGATTGAGAAGCAACATTGGCATCTCTTATTAAAAGAGAAGAATAATTCGATACCTAACCTAAGATCACTGTATCTTGAGATTCTTGAGTGTTTTTTTTTTTTTGGTTTTTAATGTTTATTTAACCCTCCGTACTTGATCTCAATGCTCCGTCCGTACACTTCTTTATCGTCAAGTTTGGAAGTAATACCTAATACCGCTGGTATAAATTCAGTTTCCACCACGTTCAATATGGTCGAGGTACTTCTGCAAGTGAAGTTCAGTCTATACCCATCACAAGAATATGTCCCAGCGTGTGCTGTAACAGTTTAATATTTGTTTTTTTTTTTGGCAATAGGATCTTGAAGTAGTGGTATTTTTAAATTACATATGGTATTGTGTTGACATGGTATTTTATTTTTACATAGAAATGTTTCCACCTCTCGCCCTTTGAGCGAGATATAATTAGAACACTTTGTTCCTGAATCTTTAAAGGATAGAATAAATATTAATTATTTTGCGGTGAAAATTCTGATAAGGATTTTAATTATGTTGAAATTCAAACTGAAGCCGAAATTAAGCAAAGTAGCGAAGAGAAAACTGAAAAAAGACCTCCAAAGACTAAGAGGTTGCCAGTCGGAAACAAAAAAAGCGGATACAAGTGAAGTTTACCCGAAAAATCGTAATATCGAAAAATCGAAAAATCGAAAAATCGAAAAATCGAAAAATCGAAAAATCGAAAAATCGAAAAATCGAAAAATCGAAAAATTGAAAAATCGAAAAATCGAAAAATCGAAAAATCGAAAAATCGAAAAATCGAAAAATCGAAAAATCGAAAAATCGAAAAATCGAAAAATCGAAAAATCGAAAAATCGAAAAATCGAAAAATCGAAAAATCGAAAAATCGAAAAATCGAAAAATCGAAAAATCGAAAAATCGAAAAATCGAAAAATCGAAAAATCGAAAAATCGAAAAATCGAAAAATCGAAAAATCGAAAAATCGAAAAATCGAAAAATCGAAAAATCGAAAAATCGAAAAATCGAAAAATCGAAAAATCGAAAAATCGAAAAATCGAAAAATCGAAAAATCGAAAAATCGAAAAATCGAAAAATAGAAAAATCGAAAAATCGAAAAATCTTTTTTAGAATCAACCTTAAAGACAACTTAAAATAATTTTGCATTATTCTTATGAGGTTTAACATTAACAATTTCACAAGTTAAATTATCAATAAAACATAATTTATTTTGAGTCTTTAAGTAGTCCAATAAGGTCGCATCGTCAAATTTTTCTGCCACGTTCGTCACTTTAATTCTTGGATGAAGTGAAGATATTGTTTTGACATTATATTTATCACCGAGATAATTAATAATGATTTCTCGAAATTTGGAAGAGTCTTCTTCTTTATTACAACTTATTACTAATGCACCATTTCGTGTTGCTGTTACTTTCGAGACCTCAATAATAGAATTCATCGGATTGACATTACGCAAAATTTCGGATTTAGTTGTGGAAATTGATTGAGTAATATTGTTTTTTGGCTGCAGAATAAACTTGGATTGAGAAGCAACATTGGCATCTCTTATTAAAAGAGAAGAATAATTCGATACCTAACCTAAGATCACTGTATCTTGAGATTCTTGAGTGTTTTTTTTTTTTTGGTTTTTAATGTTTATTTAACCCTCCGTACTTGATCTCAATGCTCCGTCCGTACACTTCTTTATCGTCAAGTTTGGAAGTAATACCTAATACCGCTGGTATAAATTCAGTTTCCACCACGTTCAATATGGTCGAGGTACTTCTGCAAGTGAAGTTCAGTCTATACCCATCACAAGAATATGTCCCAGCGTGTGCTGTAACAGTTTAATATTTGTTTTTTTTTTTGGCAATAGGATCTTGAAGTAGTGGTATTTTTAAATTACATATGGTATTGTGTTGACATGGTATTTTATTTTTACATAGAAATGTTTCCACCTCTCGCCCTTTGAGCGAGATATAATTAGAACACTTTGTTCCTGAATCTTTAAAGGATAGAATAAATATTAATTATTTTGCGGTGAAAATTCTGATAAGGATTTTAATTATGTTGAAATTCAAACTGAAGCCGAAATTAAGCAAAGTAGCGAAGAGAAAACTGAAAAAAGACCTCCAAAGACTAAGAGGTTGCCAGTCGGAAACAAAAAAAGCGGATACAAGTGAAGTTTACCCGAAAAATCGTAATATCGAAAAATCGAAAAATCGAAAAATCGAAAAATCGAAAAATCGAAAAATCGAAAAATCGAAAAATCGAAAAATTGAAAAATCGAAAAATCGAAAAATCGAAAAATCGAAAAATCGAAAAATCGAAAAATCGAAAAATCGAAAAATCGAAAAATCGAAAAATCGAAAAATCGAAAAATCGAAAAATCGAAAAATCGAAAAATCGAAAAATCGAAAAATCGAAAAATCGAAAAATCGAAAAATCGAAAAATCGAAAAATCGAAAAATCGAAAAATCGAAAAATCGAAAAATCGAAAAATCGAAAAATCGAAAAATCGAAAAATCGAAAAATCGAAAAATCGAAAAATCGAAAAATCGAAAAATCGAAAAATCGAAAAATCGAAAAATCGAAAAATCGAAAAATCGAAAAATCGAAAAATCGAAAAATCGAAAAATCGAAAAATCGAAAAATCGAAAAATCGAAAAATCGAAAAATCGAAAAATCGAAAAATCGAAAAATCGAAAAATCGAAAAATCGAAAAATCGAAAAATCGAAAAATCGAAAAATCGAAAAATCGAAAAATCGAAAAATCGAAAAATCGAAAAATCGAAAAATCGAAAAATCGAAAAATCGAAAAATCGAAAAATCGAAAAATCGAAAAATCGAAAAATCGAAAAATCGAAAAATAGAAAAATCGAAAAATCGAAAAATCTTTTTTAGAATCAACCTTAAAGACAGCTTAAAATAATTTTGCATTATTCTTATGAGGTTTAACATTAACAATTTCACAAGTAAAATTATCAATAAAATATAATTTATTTTGAGTCTTTAAGTAGTCCAATAAGGTCGCATCGTCAAATTTTTCTGCCACGTTCGTCACTTTAATTCTTGGATGAAGTGAAGATATTGTTTTGACATTATATTTATCACCGAGATAATTAATAATGATTTCTCGAAATTTGGAAGAGTCTTCTTCTTTATTACAACTTATTACTAATGCACCATTTCGTGTTGCTGTTACTTTCGAGACCTCAATAATAGAATTCATCGGATTGACATTACCTACGCAAAATTTCGGATTTAGTTGTGGAAATTGATTGAGTAATATTGTTTTTTGGCTGCAGAATAAACTTGGATTGAGAAGCAACATTGGCATGAGAAGGTTCAGCTATATTTGAAGAATTTGTAGAAATTGCGTCTTTAATCTTTCCTTGAATAGCTTCAAAACAGGATTCTAATTTTTGAGTTATCTCATCGCGGAATTGGTCTGAGATAGCTTTGGTAACTTGTTCGGTAATAAGTTTAGAAAATTTCAAATCGATATTAGCGATTTTCCTTTTTCAGGTTTTCATTCTGTTTTTGTCGACAATTTCTATTTTTGCTTTGCAGGAATTACAAATAAAATAAATATTTTTCAACTTATGAATTACTTTAAAATCATTAGTATCCATAAGATAGCACTCACGATAAAACCAGGAACCACAAGGTCCCTCACAACCAATAAAATTTTGTCCAGTTGGTTCACACCCAAGAAATAATAATCAAGAGGTAAACAACCAAAAAAATTGTTGTGGTTAGAATAATGTAGACCAAATAGTACCTTTATATCATCCAAAGAGGAGGTTTTTAGACATATCTTCAATTACGTTAATTCAAGGGACCATACAGAACACTTCAAAACAGTCACTGTCACTGTAAAATAATTTTGTTTAGTTATTAAAATAACACTAATTTTACACATACCAAGAAATATAAGTAGGTAGTTAATCAACTGCACCGGAATATCACTGTTGGATGGTGTGTTAAATAAATAAATAAATAAATATACATCCACCAACAGACGTAGAATTTTGTATAAAAGAAAGAAACAACTGTAAGAGTGTGTCTCATATTATTACTGGTATACCTTTAAAATATTAAAACAAAATTTTTTTCAGAGAGCTGACTTATTAGCAAGTGTTTATGAAGATGCGCAAGATGTAGAATTCATAGTTGCTGCTGCGTTGGAAACGCCCAAGCCACATTCTTTGCTGGGTCACACAGCGGAGTGCGTATTTTTGGAGGCTCTCGAACGTATGCAAAAATGCGATAGATACTGGTGGGATAATAATCAAAATCATTTTACGGATCCTCAACTGGAATCAATACGATCAATGACTGTGGCTTCGCTCCTTTGTTTGACTGGCGATAATATAAAAAATATGCAGCGCCACGCCATGAAACCTATTCATCCTATCAAGTAAGTATGAAATTTTGAATAAACCACTGATAAATTGCAAGTGAAAACATACCAAAGAAAAATTAATAAAGCTGATAAAATGCTTTGGCCAAAAATCGAACGTGGAACCCGAGTCGAGGCATTGACTCCTCTACTAATTGAACGACCAAGACATATACCAGGTCTTCAACAATACCCGAAACCCACGTGGTCAAAACGTCATGACAGAGATTGGTGAAAATAATAGTAAAATCCCTAGATGTTGGCCAGTGCTGTAGGTGTTTTAAATAAAATATATATTCTTCTTTTTTTTATGGTCTGTAACCTTAAGAACAAAATACAGTGAGATATAACAAAAAAATCATATTATTAAATTAATGGTGCTTTACATTATTATATTTTTATGTTAGAATTCCATTTAGGCCAATATAAAATCTTATCTTTAAATGTTTTTATGTAATCACTATTGAATTCAATACCTCTCTTATTAAAAGAGAAGAATAATTCGATACCTAACCTAAGATCACTGTATCTTGAGATTCTTGAGTGTTTTTTTTTTGTTTTTAATATTTATTTAACCCTCCGTACTTGATCTCGATGCTCCGTCCGTACACTTCTTTATCGTCAAGTTTGGAAGTAATACCTAATACCGCTGGTATAAATTCAGTTTCCACCACGTTCAATATGGTCGAGGTACTTCTGCAAGTGAAGTTCAGTCTATACCCATCACAAGAATATGTCCCAGCGTGTGCTGTAACAGTTTAATATTTGTTTTTTTTTTGGCAATAGGATCTTGAAGTAGTGGTATTTTTAATTTACATATGGTATTGTGTTGACATGGTATTTTATTTTTACATAGAAATGTTTCCACCTCTCGCCCTTTGAGCGAGATATAATTAGAACACTTTGTTCCTGAATCTTTAAAGGATAGAATAAACATTAATTATTTTGCGGTGAAAATTCTGATAAGGATTTTAATTATGTTGAAATTCAAACTGAAGCCGAAATTAAGCAAAGTAGCGAAGAGAAAACTGAAGAAAGACCTCCAAAGACTAAGAGGTTGCCAGTCGGAAACAAAAAAAGCGGATACAAGTGAAGTTTACCCGAAAATCTTGGATTTGTTTACCAATTTTGTATATAGTTTAACTAAATGATTACATTTATTTAGATTAAATTTAATATATTCGTTTGTGATACAAATTGTCTTTTACCTTTTTAAGTCAATAAAATAGCATTTTAGCCATCAGTTTTTTTTTTGGTACATATGTTTATTGGGATCTAAGTTACCATAAAAAAATTGTTTTGAGTTTTAAGTTCAATTCTTGTGTATAAATAAGCATGGGGCATTAAATATCCCAGTGCGTATAGCGGAATGGGACAGCTCCCAATCATTAAAAGAGCTGAATTTAGCAATATTATTATTCAATAATTGAAATTTTGAGGGACAAATTCTTGATAAAAATTAAGTGTGGGAACGGAGGATTAAAAAATGCTATGCATAAAAATTAAATATTTAAATAAATAATTAAAAATTATTTATTTTAGTTTGATGGCAACTGGTATATTATCTTAACTACGGCTGACTGTTTAAATTACAACAGTATTGGTTAGAATAAGTAATAGTAATCTTAGTTTGATTAAACATGTGATAATCGCTTTGAATGTTTTCGTTTATGTAGTAGAATTATTAAATCTTACAAATACATCAACTTGATAGGTATAGAAAGTACCTACAGATCATACATTTAGCTTGTTGCACGTTTAGAAATTAGAAATCAATTTAAAATTTACTTTAAGAGATGGAATTGTACATAGGCAATGGGACACAATAAACAAATACAATAAATGTTTTACTTAATAAAAAATGCTGAATAAAAAATAAAATGAATTTGTTTAATTTACTTTAAAAAACACTAAGAAAAATTATTATTAATATGTTTTGGTATTTGTGACAATATCAACAGCAAATACGCATATGTTATATGTATGCTTCAAAGACGTACCAAATACAAAGCGTTTCCAGCATATAGAAACTCTAGCCCTAAAACTAATAAGACCCCATTTAGCTCGTAGAATGACCGAATTGTTTCACATTCGCCAAGTGTCGTTTTGCCACGGCAATAAAAAAGTGCTGTTTCGCCACGCATAATTTGCATATTTTCTAACAAGTGCTCTTTCGCCATGCATGTTATTTTGTTTACCTGTCTAGATTGAAAAATAAACTTTTACCTTCGACAATATCAGAAGAAAAAAAAGAAAGAAAATTGTTTCAAATTTACCTTTATTTACATTTGACATTTATACAAATAATAAATATAATTTAATTTAACAACCTATTTAAGTTTATTTATGCACTTAGAAATATTAATTTCATTATTTAAACGTTTATCAACAGTGCTTTTAATTATAAAATCAATATTAATATTATGTTTGGATCTCTTTTTTGGGGTTATATTAAAATTTACCTGATCAATAATAAAACCATAATACTGACTATCATTTTTTAAATGGTACACTAGTTCACAGATGTTCGGACTGTATTTCCCAACTGCACGATTAAGACGATTATTCCAACCTTCCAAAGCATTGGTAGCACGATGTCTTTCATTAAAACGCGACCACATATTATCACCTATTATATTATTTGCTAACCATTGCTTGACAAAATAATTGTTAAATTCTTCAATAGTACTTAACTGCGATGATTCCTCCATAATATATAGCCATCCATCGTCGAATACAGTGGGAGGCAGATGGGCCAATGCTGCACATTTCCTTATATGTTCCTTTACGTCAACGTTTTCTACATACTCCTTTGACAATCCCAGTGATTGAACTTTTCTCCAAAGACATTGATTAAAGTGAAAGTTACAACCTTTCAATCTGGCATCAGGAAACACTTAGCGAAAAGCATTTAATACTGGAATTTTAAAATCAATTTTGAAGTAAATCGGATTCCATTCAGGAATTTCTCTTTTTATTAATCTATATAGTCGTTTGTATGTGTACTCTTTTTTATTCGGCAGTAAAGAATAGAAAACAGGCAATATGGATGTAGCTTCGTGTGTACTGCCTATGTCAGCATGAATTGTATAAACTTGGGAAAATTGCTTGCAACAACTTTTGAAAGTTCCGAAAAACGTGGTGCTTTGAACAATACTGCTTATTCCTTTTTTGCTGGCAAAACCAAGAATCCTGTCATTATCCGTTAAATCATCAACTACTACGAAACTATCCGCAAGATTATGAGGTAGAATAATTATATCTGAAGATTTTTTGAAACTCACAGCTCCAATTGACTTTCGTCGTTCTTTGTAGAGAGCACTTTTCTTGGATAGAAATGACGGAACTTCAGTCACAAAATCTAAGCCAGCGTCTTTAACAGTAGCTAAAGATTGATTAAAGATTTGAGGAATTGGGGTCAGTTCCTCTCTAGCTCGTTTTCTGCATATCATTAACGCCTTCTCTACTTCCACACTAGCCTGATTTGGAATGCAATTGTGCTCTGTTTGCCGTATAACTGTTGATTAGCAAGAAGTTAAATAACCACAACACTTTCGGCATGTACATCTCCAGGTTATAGACCCATCCTTATTACTTCGTAAATGGTCATAATTATAACCTAAGTAGGAGAGTTTTGGACGACCTCTTTTAGTTTCAAGAAACTCCATAATTAATTGTCACTCTCGCGCAGTGTTTGTTCGATGTTCACAGTTTAATATCAGGGTAAAGAATGATACTGAAATTTCAAATATTTAAATTGAACCCATTGTATAGACAAGAGCTCGGTAATCAATGATTACTATAATAAATATATAATTTAATAATAATATTAGTAAATTGGTACTTAAATAGGTCCTAATTTTCTTAATAGGTATTATTGTATACTTGTTAATACACAATTCCCAGAATTTAAGACGGCATCAACCTCGACACATTATAATCTTTTAATACTCAATGCACTTTAAAATAGATATTTGCATTGACAAACTCGACATAAAGTTGTTATTCCTGATCCCCGATCACTTATTAATAAACAACCCTATTTGTAATTAATTAAAATTATAATTTGAAATATGTTCTTATGTATACTTACGTATAATTTTGTTAAGGACAAAAACTCTATGAACTTATTATGTTGAGTATCTTTCCTATGAAATCGAAGGTAATTATGACCGAAATGTGCGTACACATTGGGGATTGACAAAGGTAGCCTTACTACAGTAATAGAAGAAAGGAAGTGTGGCGAATCTGCACTGACGTGCTACGTTATCTGATTGTCGTGGCAAAACGCTACTAAAGCAGGTAAATTTCCTTTTCGTGGCGAAACAGTACGTGGCGAAACAGGAAAATACCGAATGATCATACCGAATTTACGAGCTGAACTACAGTCTGTAATAAAAGCAGTATTGGATGATAACAATACAGAAGTGGTGCAACATAATGATGACATAAAAAGTGACAGACTCGATAAGAAAAGGAAATGCAGTGTGTGACAAAAAAATAGAATTACCGCTTACAAATGCATTCATTGTCAAAAGCCAATTTGCTTATAGTGTTCAAGAAAAATGTGTGAATTATGTTGTAAGAAAAACTGACTAACTTTTTATTATTCGCATTTAATTTACTTTATTTTGTTTTGTTGTTGATTACATTTTTGATAAAATGTGTCATTTTTAACATTTTCATTTTTAGGTTAATAAATATTTCCCAAAAGGCCGCCTAGTACCATGATTTTCCTTGTATGTGTCCATGAGGCACATACTTCTAATTATAGACAACAAAATCGATACTTCTGCTTAAGGGTTAAATGGTCAATACTCCCTTCAAAACGTAGTGATCAAATTATACTAACCAGACTAAGTTTGGTTCATACTTGACTTATTTACAGTTAGTCCAAAAAGTCTCCGTACACTACATGCTTTACATCGAACTTTTTTGTTGTACTCAATTAATTAATCAAAACTCTATGAGAACATATTTTTATTGATAATTGAAACATACTTTTAACGATTATTAGTAATAATTGCAAAAACGAATCCTTATTTAAAAATTACATCAATAATATAAACATCTATACAAAAATAATGCCAAAAAAGTCTCCGTACACTTAACAGTTTCTAATAATAATTTAACAAATAGGAAACAAATGTAAAAACTAATATTTAGTTGGGCCGCCCTTGGCCTTGATAGTCGCTTGTAACCTTCTTGTCATACTTGAAACCAACTTTCTACTAAGTTCTGCTGGAATGTTCTCCCATTCGGGAAATACTCTATTTTTTAACACTTCCTTACTTGAAACGTTATGTTTGCGAACGCGCCGTTTAAGTTCCTCCCATAAATGTTCAATGGGGTTAACATCAGGTGATTGCGGGGGTGTTTGAAGTTGTTGTCGCACGTTATGGATCAACCATTCTCGCACCAAGTTTGCAGTATGCTTTGGATCATTGTCCTGTTGAAAAATGTATCTTCCTTTGAGCGCTATTTTTTCTGCACACTTTCTGCTAAATTGTCTCGCAAAATGTTAATATAGACATGCTGATCCACGATTCCATTAATGAAATGTAAATTTCCAACACCTCCAGCTGACATGCATCCCCATAGCAGGGGATGCATGTCTTACCGTGGAACAGAGGTGTTTGATATCAAAGGCGGTATTCTTCTTTCTCCAAACTTTAGCTCTACCATCAGATCCAGAAAGGTTAATTTTAGTTTCGTCACTAAATATTATAGATTCCCAAAATTCAGGAGGCTTATTATCGTATTCTGTAGTAAAAGCTAAATGTTTTTTTCGATTAACTTCCGAAATTAACGGCTTCTTTCTGGCAGTACACCCCTTATAGCCTGCTCTGTGTATATAATTTCTCACCGTTTGTGGGCAAACATTTTTTGAAAATAGCTCTCGTATTTCTTCTTTTAGTTTTGGTGCGCTTTTCTTGGGATTTATAATTACTTGCCTAACAATACTAGCTTCTTCACGCGGAGTCAGTTTCTTGGGACGACCAGAACGTGGTCGAATCTTATAGGAACCCGCTAATTTATACTGGTTTATAATGTACTGAACGGTAGTATACGGCTTCTTAACAATTTTTTCAATATTTCTAAGGGATTTTTTTTCTTTCCATAAATCAACTATCAACTTTCGAAGTGGAATTGCAATTTCACGATTTCTTTCGCTCATTTTTAATGCTAATTTATAACTTCACTGCAAATCTATCAACAACAAATGACAGATAATAAATTATGACCGATAATTATTCATTTGTTTTTAGGCTGGCGAGCCATAGGTGCCTTGATGAAATGCAGCTAACTATAATGTGACTTTTTCAATGAAAATTATGAGTGTACGGCATAGCCTTCAGAAGGTCTAGATACCGCATCGTAAAAACAGTTTGACCCCCCATATGATGGGCGCCATGATAAATAAATGTCAATAAATTTTAAGTTGGCACTACTGACAAGACAGAATCGGCGCAAGTTTAGTAATAAGCGTAAGATCGGCGTTCGACGTATATAATCGATTTTATTATCTGTTGTGTTGTTTATTTTGTTCTTCTAGTAAAGGTTTTATTTAAAACATTATTTTTTAGTTTAGTCGTTTAGTGTTTTATTTTAATAAAAAACATTTGTGGTTTGGTTTTAAATTTTTACAGGATTTTCAAAATCTCTTTTTGTTTTGTACGTAAATGTAACAATGCATCTAACGGTAGAAGATACAAGGAAGAAATAACATTTCATGTGTAAGTTTTCACAAATATTTGTGTATTTACAAAATCAAATAATTTGTATGTTTTGTTGTAGCATACCAAAAAATGTTAGGAAAGAATAACTGATAGCCATAGGAAGACCATTGAATCATTTTGTGACTTTAGTATAAGCCCAGAAAATTTGGAGATACTAGCTGAAACGGCAAATGTGTTATTGGCTCCTTGTTAGTGACCTATTGTACAATTTTTCCAACACAAATTCCATGATCCTTTGAACTTGGCTGCACCGTACTGATGAAGACCAATAGTAAGAAAAACGTGTCGACCGTTACTTCTTTTTTACTTTTTTTTATTCGGAAAATGTCCACTATTACTACCTTGATACAATAATATTAGTTCCGTTCTAAGTAGGTACATATAGTTTGTATGTTTTATGCTTTATTTTATTATATGTAATAAATGATAGGAAATATACTTTTATAGTAAATAAATTGTTAAAGCAATTTTTCATATCCATTGTTTATTAATTTGTTTCATTTAATTCTTTCTTATTGAGTAAGTTATTTCATATAAATATGCGATACTTGTAAAATGTAATATTTTCTTTTAAATAGGTATATATTATGTTCGTATAAAATATTGTTCAGTTAATAAAAACAGAAATATTTTGTAATTTATTCAAAAGAAGTTTGTAAATTTTTCAAAATATATTTACCTACCCCAAAAAAAGATTAATAAAACCAGTTAGTCATATACACATTTTCTATATATTTATAGAGGTACTTTTTAAATAACTTTCAATACATTCGAAATCTGTGGTTTTATTAAACTCAATGTAACAAATAATAATAGGTATTCTCAAAAATATTTAAACATAAAATCGAGATGGGACTCTTGTATAATTTAGTGACTATTCGCCTATGGTTAGTGCACTGCTGTATGTCCCTGGGTTTTCTACATTAGAACAATACTGCTTCTCCACTGTAGCAGTATTTTTTGCATCTCAGATTATATTTATTAAAAAACCAAGGAATTGTTTTGGGCCTATTGCTGGGCCCTTTTCCAACATTCCCAAAGTTTTTTTTTTACTTTCTGCTGATTGGATCTCCGATAGCGACAACTCCATTTGTTGTTCCACTAGTTTTTTATCAAATTTTTAAAATAACTTCTATATATTTATCTTTTGCAATGACTTTGCTTACCTGCTTCATAATCTCTTCCCTATGCCCCAATTTCTCTAACAGGTGAGATCTTATACTCGCTCTATTAAATCAAATTATCATAGTTTATTTGAAAATGCTTGGTAGCACAGTTTTTATGGCAAAGGTCCATATTTTTATATAATTTTGCTATTATTCATTTTCAAATAAACTATAGGAATAGGAGTAATCTATTAGTTTTTCTAAAAATACCTTGTTACCGATGTAAGTATATCTTTCCCTAGTTAAAAAATTCGAGTTTTTATTTTCATAATATAATATAAATAAATGACCGGTTAACAATCACATTCTTTTAAATAGTACATTTGACATTGAAGTAGGTATTTTCTCCATATTGCCAAACAGGAACAGATGGTTTACTTGTAATTTGAATTATATTACATAAATCTCACTGAATTTCTCTATAATTCTCATAGCAGTATGTACACAAACCACTTATCCAATATTATATAACCATGTAAAAATAACATTTCAAGAACGAGAAATTTTATAAAACCGGTCCTGTCTGAACAGATCTAGGAAAATCAAATAGGTTTGTCAAAGTTTTGTTCTTAATTTGAAATTAGAAATTGTGCGTCTCACTCACTTATAACTAATAACAAAGTGCAGGTTATCGGTGTTCACGTATTACAGAACACACAAACTAAAAATCAGTGTAGCCAAAACATAAATTTACCTAACATGGCGACAAGCTTGAATGGGGTCATTTTTTTGTATTGACAGTATACGCCAAGCGGTATCTAGACTTTCTGAGGGCTATGGTGTACGGAGACTTTTTTGACATAAATTTTGCATAGATTTTTATAATGCCGATGTTTATTTTAAATAAAAATGTCCATTTAATTAATAAATTAAATGCAACAGAAAAATTCTATAAAAAGCAGATAGTGTACGGAGACTTTTTGGACTAACTGTAGTTCTAAGATAGAACCATTAAACTGACTATCAAATATTTGTAGACTGTGCTTCTCTTGCACCTCAACGTATTTGAGCAATAGTAGTAAATATTCTATGCCCTACGTGTTATATAAAAAATTCTTCTTTTTAAGTGACACTTTAATAAATTTTTGTGGATCACGCGTTAATTACATAAATTATTTCGTTACATCTACATTATAAATTTACCGACTAAATGGATCAATAAATATCCACTACTAGTCCAGGATCCGTAAGTAGGGTCGAACTTCACCCATCTGTTTAATGGATAAAACTTATTTTTTTTTTAAATAAAATATGTTTTTAAATATACCACAAATGAGTTGCCTAAGAAAATACGGCCACGGCCATTTTTTACTTTCCTTTTTGAGTACAGATAAGTAAAGTATAAAAATCATAATAAAAGTTGTTTATGATGTCATGATCTATAATTTTGTTTTTATACATGATTTTCCTAAAATTAACCTAATTCGAGATATTTGAGGAAAAGTGCAAATTTTGAATTTTAAAGACAACTCAAAAACGGATAAAGAGAAAAACACCAAATTTTAAACTTAAGCTTAAATCCATCCTGCGGTGAGCTGACTAAAGTTTGGGCATAGTTGAAGCATATGGGGAATACTTTACAGGGTGTCGTTTTTTTTAATTTAAAAAAAAATAGTCTGGACCATATTTTCTTAGGCAACCCATTTGCGGTATATTTATAAATATATTTTATGTAATAAAAAGAAACTTTCATCCATTTAACAGGTGGGTGAAAGTCGACCTTACTTCGGATCTTAGACTATACAGAGTGTGCCAACAACTAATTTGTATTAACTTGTAGTATCTATTTTAAAAATCTATCATCGAGATACGTACCTATATTTGCAAGTATTAAAATGGTCTTTTTGTTTTAGTAATCCAATCGTAAGCTGTGCAGACCAACCTCCCATGTCTATGGAAGCTTTTAGAGAAATTAGTTCATTATAAAATCGTTTTTTGAAAATTTCTTTGACATAATAAAAATAATTTTAAATATAAAATATGTATAAAAAAATTGTTAATCCAAAAGAATTGTTATGTATTTAAATAGATAGAGTAGAACCAGATTTGCTGAAATCACTGCCTGTTTCTTTTCTGTTATGCTAAATAATTTTTTTGTCGTTTGTTTATAGAACATTTAAAAATACATTTAAAATGAAAATATTTTGTAACTGATAATAACAAACTTATCAATTTTTAAATCTACAAAGTAACATTTTATAATTTAACATTATTTATGTATTTTTGTGATACTAGGTATTTTGATAAATTTTTTGTTGTTTTATTTTTACTGCCTAAAACCGACGGTTAAAAACGTCAGGGTAAAAATGTCACAAAAACGAGGTGTATGGGCAAGAACGTCGTTTATGAACGTCGTTCCAAAATTTCATGCGAGTCTTGATTTTTGACGGTTATCGTGCCAACCGTTCGAGTAAACACGAGGTGTGTATTCTCAACAGTTTGACTGGTCGGGCATCTATCAGTAGCAGTGACGTTCAGCATGTTTTTGTTTATTTACAACTGGTTATAATAAAAATGTCTGATATTAGGCAGTGGAACAGATATTTTTTATTAGAGTTTATCGAGCTTGGCAGGTTTCGGGTATTATGCGTCCTAGTGCCTGCGTTGAAATAATAACAGAAAACTTCAGATCCTCGTAGCTGCGGCCAGTGGCCAGAAACCGCAGAGTAGCTGTTAGGCGTTCCTGAGGACTGATGCATTCCCGTAAATGGTTTTTATGTGTCTCAATTAACGGTGTTACTAGTTTTAACAGTTTCCGATACGTATCCTCGTCCATCCTGAAGTAATTGTGCCAATCACCAGGCTCCAATCTTAGCTCCTCTAGTAAATTTGTTTGTGACAGTGTACTGTATTTAAGTGGCCAGTCTTTAGTCCATTTTCTTCGAGATTTTCTTTTTTCCCGATTTTTTTCCACTGCCAAAACCGCTGCCACTGCTAACAAACGGTCCATCGTGATAAACTGGCGCGAAAAAAACTGTTGTATGTGGAGATATCAGTCAACGTTTCTCCTTTCAACGTTTTTAACCGTCGGTTAAAAACGGCGAAGAAGAACGAGGTGAGTGGGGCCCAAAAACCATTATTATAAATGCCAAAACATTAAGAGTGACTTTTTTAGGATAATTAAATCTGTATAAATAGGTACACCTTCAGGCTTGGTTGCGAGGGGATGTCCACAGGGAGGGGTGCTATCACCTATACTGTGGAATATGTTCCTCGACATCCTCATCACAGGATAAAGAACGATACAGAAAAGAAACAGGGCTAAAACAGGAACCTAGCAACCGAAGCCACACCTTCTTTATGGTGGAGCATTGTCAAAAGTGAATCGTAGATTTCTAACTTGTTCGAAGTGCAACAGTGCACACTTTTGTAGTAGATGAACGAAGCTGTCACTGCTGTCGCTGTCAATATTTTTTTGCCTGTCGTCTTTTGATTTTTGGTTCGTTCTAGCGAATATTCTAATAACTTTTACGTTTTGTTAGTGGTTTATCTTTAGTTTTTGTTGCTGTTTTTAATTGTGGAGTGTTCATTTAAGACTTTATTGTACGTATTAAGATTAGATTTATAAACAATGCCGCGTCAAAGAGAAGGAGGGTATACTTGCCCAGCTAGCACAAAAACATCCCATCTACGTTAATAAGCTGCAATTTTAGGCTCTTTAAGCTCGCATGCAATGTACTTTTACTGTAACCCTATTATCCCTGCAACCACCGAATGTTTGCAACGGCAAGACTTTTATAGCACATCTCACAGAGGTTACAAAATTCAAGTTCGGAAAACATCACACTAGCACTTTTACGGTACTTACCCCGAAAGTTGCTCTGAAACTTTCTATAGATGTTATAATGTGAATTCATTCTACAGCATTATACAGTGTGTCCACGGATGGATTTAACAATACTTGTAAAAATATTTATTTTAAATTTAAAAGTACTTCTTCATAATTTCTTTTGCTTGTTAAATAAATACGATTAAAGTTGAGAAATTATGAAAAAGACCTCTTGAAAAATTTAAAATAAATATCTTTACAAGTATAGTTATGTCCATCCTTGGATACACTATATTCAAAATAGTATATTGAGGATATAGTAAAATCTGAAGAAAACAAAATAAAAAATTGTATAAATTTATTATTAAAAAGCTTTTGAAATCAAGAACCAATATCATACAAGTAGAGGTAGGAATTAATAAGATAACGCTTAATCATATTACCAAGTTTCACCACATGCAAAAACTAAAATATTTCAGTACAAATATTTGAACAAACCTTATAATCTCTGACCACACACATAGGGATACAATCAGTGTTGCCAGTCTAGTACGATTGTACTAGATCTAGTACATTCTCTGAGAATCTTGTACTCTAGTACACTCAAAACAATATCTAGTACTTTTTTCAGCGTATGTTTCCATTTGAAGTGTAAAATATATTGGTCAAAAATTGCAAGAGAAATTAAAATAGTTGTTAAAAATTACTTCAGACATAAAATAGTAGACATTTCTCGAGATATAAAACATTGTTTAAAAATTACACGAGAGATTAAATATTGTTCAAATATGGCTTGAGAGGTAAAAAAGGGTGTTAAAAAATGGTCGAAGTATAAAATAGTATTAGAAATTGCTTGAGAGGTAAAATATTGTTTAAAAATTGCTCTAGGGATAAAAATACTGTTAGAAATTTAATGAGAGATAAAAATATTTAATAATTTTTCCGGAGATTAAATAGTATAATAAATTGTTAAAATCGTGTTCAAAAATTGCTCGAGGTAAAATAGTATTACAAAATGTTAAACCCTTGTTCAAAAATTGCTCGAGAGATAAAATACTATTGAAAAATTTGTTGAGAAATAAAATATTGTTCAAAATTGTTTCAAGACATACTACTATTAGAAATGTCTCGAGAGATAAAACATAGTTTAACAATTCCTCGAACGATAAAGTACTCTTAAAAAAATGCTCGAGAGATAATTTTACAAACATTGCTCGAGATATAAAACATTGTCAAAAATTTATCGAGAGTTAAAATATTTTTATAAATTTATCGAGAGTTAAAAAAGATAAAAAAGTTGTTAAAACTTGCTCGAGAGATAGAATAATGTTAGAAATTTATCGAAAGATAAAATATTGTTTAAATATATCTCAAGAGATAAAAAAAGGTTTAAAAATTGTTCGACAGATAAAATAGTATCATAAGTTATTAAAATCTTATTCAAAAATTACTCGAGAATTAAAAAATACTGTTAAACATTTCTCGGGCGGTAAAACATTGTTTAAAAATTGTTAGAAAGATAAAAAAATGTTAATAAATATTGCTCGAGAGATAAAATAGTGTTAGAAATTATTAAAATTTTACTCAAAAATTACACGAGAGATCAAATATTGTTCAAAAATAGCTTGAAAGGTAAAAAAGCTGTTAAAAATTGCTTGAGTGATTAAATTGTGTTAAAAATTGTACAAACATTGCTCGAGGGATCAAAAAAAGTTGTTAAAAATAGCTCGAGAGATAGAATACTGTTGGAAATTTATCGAGAGATAAAATATTTTTTAAAAATAGCTCGAGATAAAAAAAGGTTTTTTTAAAAACTGTTCGAGAGATAAAATAATATCAAAAGGTATTAAAATCTTATTCAAAAATTGCTCGAGAGATAAAATAGTGTTAGAAATTGTAAAAATTTTGCTCAAAAATTGCACATGAGATCAAATATGGTTCAAAAAGAGTTTGAAAGGTAAAAAAGGCTGTTAAAAATTGCTAGAGTCATTAAATAGTCTTAAAAAAAATATTGTACAAACATTGCTCGAGAGATAAAAGAAGTTGTTAAAAATTGCTCGAGAGATAGAATACTGTTAGAAATTTATCGAGAGATAAAATATTGTTTCAAAATAGCTCAAGAGATAAAAAAAGATTTAAAAACTGTTCGAGAGATAAAAGAGTATCAAAAGGTATTAAAATCTTATTCAAAAACTGCTCGAGAGATAAAATAGTGTAAGAAATTTGTCGAGAGATAAAATATTGTTTAAAATTGTTGTGTTCGTGTTCTCTATAAACCTTTTTTTGCTCTCTAATGACCAAACTTCATAATTAGAAAAATCTGGTAATTTTATAGAATCTAGTACATTTTTATGAAATCTGGTACATTTTTTAAATAAATCTGGTACATTACAAAAATATATTCTGGCAACACTGGATACAATACTTGCTTCTAAGTATCACTATGGCGATAGTATTGGTAATTCAGTATCAGTGCCTAAATATCGATACTTTCATTGTTTAATATCGTTACTTCTATTGCATTAAGGCATCAATAAGATCCCTATTATCGTGTAAAATAAATATAAGCAGTCATTTAATTGTATCTACTTGTTTACAATGATTTATTTTTTATTGTATTTGGAAATTGAAATTTTACCATCTAAAACAACAGACAATAAATTAGAAAATATGTATCTATTTTATTGAAACGAAGAAAACAACTTACCAAACTTATTCAAACGTATAGTTTCCAATTTCTTTAAAATCTCAAATACGTACAAGAAAAAGTGACAAGTGACAGTTTTTATGTTTTGTTGGTTATGACAAACGAATGGCTACGTTCGAAAACAAGATTATGTCCATAGTACTTCTCGTGGAAACTTTTTTAGCAAGTTACTTAATTACGTTGTGTTATCATAACAGGCAGGTTAAATACGTAAGTAACAAATAGATGTTTCGCGAGGTTTTGATTTCCCTCAACAACACGTTGCAATTACGTTGTATGGGTATGTTATGATGTTCCCTTAAAACAACATCGCCGAAAGGCTTGGCAACGTTATGTGCTAGCTGGGTGTATTTATCGTGGATGTTCCTCAAGAACAGGTGACAAAGAAGGATTGTTCACTCTTGTGAAAGATCTAGTGTAGGTATATATGTATGAAACATTAAGTGTGAAATAGGAATTGACCTTTCCATAACATTGTAGTACAATGATTGTATGTATTTTTCAGACTTGAATTGTGGCTTCAGGCAGCAAATAGAAAGGACTTATTGGGAAAGAGTGTTGAATACTTAAGTAAAC